AATATCAGAGGTTGATTCTGAAGTGAATAGGTTTTGAAAACTGGAAGTGAGTCTCTCCGCCATCTCAGATGTAATCGGACGGGTTTTCTCTGCATTAGTGCTGTTCTGGATTGACTGCTTGAATGCATTCGCTTATTGGATCCTTCTTTGGACAGCAAAGAAGGATCCAATTCCCATAACATTTAACCAGCCCTAATAAAAATGAAGTTGCTCCTGTTGTAACAGCTGTGGTCTGTTTGCTAATAAAGTTGAGAAAGTCTGAGATGGTTCTGAGGGTCCCTCACATGCTCCCATTTTACAGTCGATGATTTCCATTTGCTCACAATGTGAAATCAGAAACAATAAAACAGTTGACTTTGTTCAACTCTATGATAATTAAGCCATTTTGGCGGATGAGCTTGTTCTAACACCTATCTTCGAGTGGAATCTCCGTCAAGGCAGACATTGCAAAGACCTATTTGTTGTGTATGTATACTCACATGCAGATCTGTATGGTATTGAAATCTTTCCCTGCACACTGCTGATGACAACAATATGTCCACTTCGTCTATCCACCATTGAAGGCAGAATGGCTGGAAAGGACGAAAAAACAAAAACATATATTTAAATTATATTTAATTTAATTTTTGATTTTTGATAATAAAGTTCAGGAGATTGTCTTGACTGCCACATGATTGGTTGATTAGATAATTGCATTAATGAGAAATTGAACAGGTGTTCTTAATAATCCTTTAGGTGAGTGTATACAAATACACTAACTTTCAAAAGTAGTGGTCACTCAGTAATTTATTTATTTCATATGAAACATGACCGTAAAGACATTTATTTGATAATGTTACAGAAGATTTCTGTACTTTTGGACTTCCAATTCACTGAATAATCTTGAAAAAGGTTTTTATTAAAATTTCAGCATTAAGCATTAAAAGCATTAAGCAGCACAAGTGTTTTCAACATTGATAATAATAAGAAATGTTTCTTGATAATTAAATCATTGTATTAGACTGACTCCTGAAAACACAGCTTTGCTATCACAGGAATAAATGACCTTTTAAGATTATTTTTGATCAAATAAATGCAGCCTCAATTCGCATAAAACTCCAACCCCAAACTTTAAACTATATAATCATTTCACTGATATCTTATTTTGACTCCTATTCACTCACCTTGTGTAAGAGCAACAGGACCGAAGTAGTTGGTCTCCATGACATCTCGCTGAACTGAGACGTGGGTGTCCAGGATGTTGCCACGGTAACTAATGCCTGCATTGTTAATGAGGACATCAACGTGACCATGGCACTTCAAAATATCCTTGGCGGCGCTGGTAACCAGGGATGAGCTGGAGAGGTCAAAGGTGACAGTGCAGGGAGCGTAATTCTGAAAAAGAAAGGAATAAATAAACATAGTTAAGAGATTGGATATGTTCACACCTACATTTTTGTACACCTACACCTTATTTACCCACGAACTCGCTGTATAAGCACAATAACATTTTTAAACAGCCCTAAAAGATAACTGAACAGTCAAAAAGGAGAATAAGAGATTTGCTTGAAGGCTTTCACCTGTATTTTTCCATTATTATTATTATTTCTCAACTCCTCAACGACCTCTTGTAGTCTCTTCTGGTCCCGTCCGCAAAGGATCAGTCGGGCCCCCGCCGCATGGAAGACCCGTGCACACTCTGAGGGTGAAAAGACAGATTAAGATATTAAACAAACAATGAAGTAATATCCACAGTCAAATGGCATTGATAAGAGATTATGCTAAGCATTATAAGAGAGTTTATGTTCATGTAACCTTTGCCCAGGCCTGAGCTGGCTCCAGTGATCACCACCACTTTATCCTGTAGATTCTGCTTGTGTCTCAGTCTCTGCATCACTTTCAGCAAAATCAGCAGCCCGACAGTCCCAGCAGCAAGTGGCCCAACACCTAAACCTAACACACGCTCCATGTGTCTGTACACATATGCATACCGGTATATTAATCTATATTTATAAAAGACTCAACTCAACCCACCAGCATCTTTATCTAGAAGTAACATGGCAGCATTCTGTGAGACTGACCTTGGCCCAAAAACTAACTACTAACTATTACTAAATTGTAAACGATATTTAAAAGAAAAAAAACCCTATTTAATAGGAGGCTATTTTATAACTCGCATACTACATGAATTAATGCAGACTAAAATGCAGGACCATATAAAATTAACTAGTGAACCCCTCAAAAGATTAAAGTTAGCATGAAATGTAGATTCCAATTCTCTTTTGTTCCTTATTGTTAAGAGAACAGATGCAGTTTCTAGGGGGAGGGAATGTTCATGTTTTTGATTAAAGATTACAAGGACATATGAATCTTTTAAAAAATAACGATGTGCTATTATATGTTTATTCAGAGCATTTGACTGCATATTGTTCTGTAAACGAGGTACAGTGTAATGGACGTTGAAGCAGCCAAATGTTTCGGATCTCACGGCAACTCTATCACAAACCGTAGGTTAACAATTTCACAAAGCTTTGTCTGTAAAGGACTGTTTTAAATGGATATTGTTTTGAAAAAACTTTCTTACGTGCAATGTATGCGTTCCTATGCAATGACTTAAGCCAATCATAACAGTGGCCGTTTACTGCCAATCCGCTGCTTAAAAACGGATCATTTCAGACAAAGTTTTAATCATTCTAAAGGGGTCTTCTACGAGCCCCACACATAACATGCAGGAAAAAATTGTAGACTAAATCCCGCGCACAGTTAACTAACGTTAATTCGTTCCCTCAATTTATAAATTGTGCACTAGTTTAGGCTACTAATTTGTCGAATAATATTTGTCTAATTTGTGCGTGCGGCTAAACCTACACTTTTCCCCTGCATGTCATGTGCGGGGCTCCGTAGAAAATAATAATTCTTCCACATATGCAAAAAACTTTTAACATTGTACGCGAATCTCAAGCATATTAAAATAATTAAAGATCCATGTCATGATCCTGTTTAAAACCCCTTAGACTTCAATAATACAGAACCACGTTTTCAATAATGTGATGTGTAATACGCAGTAGTAACTAATCCACAGCAACTATCTAGTAAATCGCGAATAAACGTTTTATTGCGCCATGCAACCGAATTTTCATAAAACATACCTTTTCATTTTTTAACGTCTCAGTATCTCATAATAATCATTCTCTCTAAAGGCTGTTGTATCAACATGCAATGTTCAGTAAATATATAAAATAAACCTAAAGGATAATGAAATTACCTACCGAAAGTTGAGACCCTTGTGATTGAATGGAGATTCCGGAAGTCAATAACACCACGTGATTCTGGCCATAACGCCCTCTACCGAATGCAGCAACAAGGTACAGACACGAAGTGGAGTAACTCAAAACCCAACTTTGCTCATTTCAAAACAGCCTTTAAAATGTATTTTGAGTCTGTAAATTTTTTTAAAAAATCGAAAAGCCCAAAGATCTGTATCCCTCCTAAAAGAATTTAATATATGTCTGTGATGCCCTCTATCTTTATTTGTTTTTTTTTTTCGTGTTTTTTCTCTTTAAAAAAATGTGTAAAAGAAATGTCAATAACTTGATATCAAACTCTGTGATTTTGAAAATTCAATAAAAAAAAGAAAAGAAAGCCCAAGTTTACATAACCAAAGTTTACTTAAAATTGCTCCCTCTCTCTCTCTCTGTCTCTCTCTCTGTCTCTCTCTCTCTCTCTCTCTCTCTCTCTCTCTCTCTCTCTCTCTCTCTCTCTCTCTCTCTCTCTCTCTCTCTCTCTCTCTCTCTCTCTCTCTCTCTCTCTCTCTCTCTCTCTCTCAATTCAATTCAATTCAGAAAGCTTTATTGGCATGACAAAAAAATACATTTTGTATTGCCAAAGCGTCAAAACAACATAGAAAATGATTTGGAACATTTAGTACACAAAATATTAAAACTGATATCATAAAACAATAATAATAAAATGAACAGATTAATAAATAAAATGGATTTAGAAATCATATATATATATATATATATATATATAAAAAAAAGAAAAATATTGAACATTATATACATGTGTGTAGGTCTTAGGCTGTGAGAGAGTGTGTGTTTAGTGTATGTTTGCTGGTTTCTGGTCGTCCCTCAGGATGTGGCAGGATGCTACAAATTTTGCAGCTATATTTGAGCATTTGGCTTCTTCGCCAAGAATGAAACAAAGTTTTTGGGTCGGATTACAGGTGTTAAATTGGGGAAATATACTATTAATTTTGGGGTAGTAGTGGTCTCTAATGTGTTCATATTTTGGGCATTCTGTGAGGAAGTGCAGCTCAGTCTCCGTCACTCCCAGGGTGCGGTGCGGGCAGAGTTTGTCCTCACGGGAGAGCCAGGTCTGTCTGCGCCGGCCCGTCTCGATGGCCAGGCTGTGCTCGCTGAGTCTGTACATCGTCAGGGTTTTCCTGAGTCTCACATCACTCACTGTGCTCAGGTAGTTTGCAACGGTGTACTCTCGATTTAGTGCCGAATAACATTCCAGTTTGTGTTGGTTTTTAATGGTGTTTGTCCAATGGGTGATGTACTTGTCTTGTTCTGTGTTGATAATTTGTGCGGGCCGAATGTGTGTGAGTGTGTGTGTGTGCTGAGGCGAGCTGATCTCTGTTGGAGAGAGCCCAGTCAGTCTCAGCACCAGCTGGCACAGGGGACTCCTCGCTACGCTCAGCTCTTGGTGTTTTAGGGCTTGGTAATGGTATGTGTTGGGGTCGCTTGTTTTTAGGTGTTTCCAGAATTTGATGGCTCTTTTTTGGATGTTTAGAAGGAGAGGGTATTGGCCTAATTCTGCCCTGCATCCATTGTTTGGTGTCTCTCTCTCTCTCTCTCTCTCTCTCTATATATATATATATATATATATCCATTTCAACAAGTTCAAGGCAACATTCCTAATGTTCAACAAAATTGCTAAAACTTTGTTTGAATAAAATGAAAAATATTAAAATCAAAAATTAGAATAGTATCTCAAATAACACTGACACAAATGGGTTTGTTGTAGCTCTATTTATACACTTTGGGTTTAAAACCCAATTTTAACAACACAGAACTCTTTAAAACACAGGAGAGGAGCTCCTAAATGCCCACATGTGGCATGTTAAACAACAACAAGAACAAAAAACACTTTCTCAGTGAGTTATCAATAAATAATCCAAATGACAATAATTTACAATATGTTACAAAAGCAGTAAATACTGGGGTCTGTTATTGTCTATTTACATCTGTGCAAACACTCATATGTACACACACACACACACGCACACACACACACACACACACACACACACAAGAGAAAGTCTCACATTAGAAAATTCAGTTTCAGAATCTACTACGTATTGGCTCCATATTCATCCGACGGGAAATATAAATCCTAGTGTTTTGAGGAAAATACCATAATAAATTGAAGGGGAAAATGTTCAATCTCACTGTTAATGTAACTACACTGCATTTTTGTTATCAGTAATTTTGTTTAGTGTGTGTTAGATATTCAGTCCTTGTAACAATCTCACAAAAAAGAAGCCCTTGTCCTTTTTAGTAGTGTGGAATTCACCAACTAAAAACATTCAAATGATTAAAAGAAACCAGAATCTGGGGTCACAGACACTTTTGTGTGCAGATGCACTCCTATGGCTTTAGAGGGTTTTGCACAAATGAGTTGTGTACAATAGAAAGAAAAAAACAAAAACACATATAGTCCATGGCTCCACTTACAGATGCATGCACATGTAAGACATTAGAGACAGATATACAGATCTGAGAAGACTATATTTGTTCAGATATGGCAGGTCGTATTATTTTCTCTGTACATGAGGTTGCACTGTAAACTGGAGTTTTTAAGTGTCCTGGGTGTGGCTCATGACACAATAGCCACGGAATAATCAACACGCACACTCACAAACGCACACTCTCTCTCTTTCACACACACACACGCACACGCTCACAAGCCCAAAGGCTGTTGTGGTATTGTGGACCCTGCCAGTCTATTGCACTTCCTACAGATGAACCACTCTCTGGTTAACATTCTTCTGTCCAAAATGAAAGGGGCGTGGCAGTGAAAGACTCCGCCCAGTGCATCAGTCGCCTGGAGGAGGTGGGAGGGTCGGTTCTGTGACAGAGAGCTCCTGCGCGAGGTCATTGAACCGGGCGATGTAGTCGACGCTGCTCTCGCTCATCATACAGGCTAGCTGGGTATCCACCTGTAGCAAGAAAACAGCCTATCAGCACATGTCCAAATGCTTTTTGAGGCCACAGCAAGGGCTGCACAATTAATCAAAAGAACAGAATGGCTTAATGTGATTGTGGAACTGCAGAGGCAGCAATTTAATTAATAATTACAGATAAAATTAACCGAGGTGGTAATGAGTGTTATTTTTCTAACGGCCCAGAGTCAATTATTCCGCATCTACTACGGTACGGTTACCACACCCCAAAACAACTTGAGCATCTCTCATTCTCATCCCAAGGCATTGCTAATTATTACAAAACGTCATTTCAGAGCTAAAAAACGGAGACTTGAGCCACTGATAGCAGACTAATGCAGTTTTTAATGCCGTTAAGAGAGAGAGCACTAGAAAGAAAGAGAGAGCGAGAGAGTGTGTGAATTACCTCAGTCTCTCAACAGTGTTTGGTACCAGCATCAACTAATAGCAAAACTATGTTTATCTGGACCTCACTAGTGAGATACGTCATGTACTAGCAGCCATATCACCCTGTACTCCTGGTAAGACTGGTTGTCCACTGAAGCTAAGCAGGGTTGAGCCTGGTTAGTACCTGGATAGGAGACCTCCTGAGAAAAGCCAGGTTGCTGCTGGAAGAGGTGTTAGTGAGGCCAGCAGGGGTTGCTAACCCTGTGGTCTGTGTGGGTCCTAACGCCCCAGTGTAGTGACGGGGACACTATACATTCAAAGAGCACCGTCCATCGGATGAGACATTTAAACCGAGGTCTTGACCCTCCGCGGTCATTACAAATCCCAGGATGTCCTTCGAAAAAGAGTAGGGATGTAACCCCACGAGCATACTTTCAGTTAAATAATATTATAACGATTGGTACAGCCGAGTGTTTTTCCTCCTCTGGCTGGAAACTTGTCATGGCTTCTCATATTTGTCGTGTTTACGAAATATTTTAGTTTTATTCTACAAAGCTTAAAACTAGAGTGGCTCCTGTCCAGCTCCTTTCCCCATTCAACTTCAGAAGCCAAAATATTTCCACACGTCAGCTTTTAACGAGGAGGGTGTTTGGATCTGGTGCTCAGTCATCGCGTCCGCATCTCTGTTATGTGCATGCCACAGACAGTCCGGCCACTGCACTTCCGCGCTTCAGAGTTACGTCAATATTACGTTATTATAAATGTATATATATATATATATATATATATATATATATACACATTTATAATAACGTAATATTGACGTAACTCTGAAGCGTAACTCTATATATATATATAAAAAAACATTTTTTTTGAAAATCGATTTGACATTTGTGAATCGATTCAGAATCGCCCACGTCCGCATCGCGATGCATCTAAGAATGGATTTCCCCCCCCACCCCTAGTAGTTACCTAACCCAACCTAATATGTTTTTGATGAATAAATTTCAGATATATAAAATTACTCATTACTAATTTCAAACCCCCTAAATTGTTTATCTCGAATTTGAGCCAGGATGCTAAAAAAAATGTATAGGAACACTTGGCGATAATGTTGCATATCAAATAATATTAAGCTACCAGACAGCAGTTGGGGACTTTCTGTGTTTCCTCTCACCTCAGCTGCATCCGGCAGGCCGCGGGACTGAAAACAATCGTGGGAGTTGCTGTCCAGTAAACTGGGTCCAAGTAAGGCTGTGCTACTCGAAGGGGGCAGGGCTGTCCTTCTTGTCTTATCAGGAGATGCCAGACTTGCTGCAAATCAGGAAAACAAGGATGTGCTTGTCAATATTCCTGAGACCGATGAAGGTTTGCTGTAAGAACAGCGATAGGTGACTCTGAACATTTTGGCTAAAGTATGATACCAGCCTCTGGTAATCTCAGCATCAATACCTTAAGCAACATATACAATTAAATTAAACTAGGGTTGCCACATAATTCAATGTCAATAATAAATGATCAATACATTTTTATAATCAGTTCTTGACACCGGACAGCAAAAGATATCTGTAACAGTGCTGTGCTCATTCATATTTTTCAAGCGGCATCAAATATTGAGCTCATATTATATGTTAAGGTTTGGTACATTTTTTGTGAGTCTCTTATGTCACTATGGCTGCATTTATGTGATAAAAAATAAAGCAAGAACATTAAAATTGTCAAATATTATTACAATTTAAAATAACAGTATTTCTATTTTAAACATAAGCCTTCTGAAATCATTCTAAAATGCTGATTTGCTGCTCAACAAATATTTATTATTATTATCAATGTTGAATAGTGAGAGTAAACTTTTGAGCTGTAGTCTATATATACATGATAATGTGTATGTGTACATTATCATTTTGTTACGTAATGTGTTACTAGTCTAAATATGTCTAAAATAAACAGCCATTGATGACGGGGAAATGAGCCGAAACGTGTTTGATACTTACAGAGCAGGCAGCCAAGACTTGAATCAGTAGAGTCATTTGGGTACCACTGAGGGTCGTGTGTAGGGGACGGCATCCAGCTGTCACATGAAGAGGGAAGAAGCTTAGATCTATCACTCCCATTCAGTTTAGGAGGTGAGAGCAATGATCCATCACCTTGGAAAGAGACAGAGAGACCAAAAGTGAGAGAGTACCCCGAGACATTCCTCTAATATCCACGTTCAATCCCACAGGTCGTACCATAGTGCGAGTTGATGGCGAGCTCAATAATAGAGTCGCTGATTTGAGTTTGCGGTTCTCCAGATGGAAGGGACTCCTCTGGGGGGCCTGGTAGAGAGATATCCAGTAAGGAAGCAACACTGGGAGGGGCCAAGAGGGAGTCCCCGCCCCCTGGAGAAGGTGGAGAGACACCATTTTGCAGGGATTCCTGCAGACAAAGAGAACAAGATCAAGATATGATCAACTGTGCATTCAAAAGTGAAAGAGGATCTAGGGAAGGGATTATTTATTACCTCAGAAGGATCCTGATCAAGTAGATCAGGATCTAGTTCAGGTGCAGCAGGTTCCGAGTCCATGGCCTCCTCAGACTCCACAATGGCCTTTTCTATACTAGGGGCCTCCACTTCCCGACAGGGACTGCCAGGGATAATGCCTGCAGATTTTGCAGCCAGGTCAATTGCACCTGAAACAAATTCAAGAGAAATTCAAGAGTGTGCAGTTGTGGGATTCAAATGTTCAGTGCATGAATGCATCTTTTATCATTTAGTTTCTAATTTGATTCTTACTGGACAGCTGACTAGCGGGCACAGGACTAGCTGTAGTGGACAAAGCTTTTGAGGAAAGTTGGCGGTTGGATGGGGCGAGACGAGTTTGTATTGGACGAAAAGAACCAGTGCCTGACAAAAAGACAAAATGTTGGAATTAAGACAGATACAGTAATTCTGAACGTATTCAAAATATATATATCTCACTGCTTGACTTCAAGTCACTTTTATCATTTAAACCAAACTTTGTTTATTAAATGTTTAGCTTGAAAAGAGTTTTTGTGACTTGGTGTGATATTTTGTTATGTAATAACAATAAAGTGTGGCATAAGTGTCCAAATACTTAGGCTAAGTCATGTATGAGTAAAAGTGCATTTAAAGAGTGTTACGCATTAGTGTGGTTAATCACCTGTAGCAGATGAATTGGAGAGAATGGAGAAGGAGCACACATGAGGCGAAGTGTCTCCAGTGGTTCGTGGCAGCAGTGTTCTCTGGAAAAAAAAAAAAAAATTATATATTTTTTTTTTAAAAAGTACTAACTATTAGAATATCTCAATAAACACAAACAACAGAATACAGCTCCAATGTGAAGAGTATAAAGAAAGCAAAAGCCCTACTTCCTAGTTTTTCCTTCCATCGGCACTCACCTGAACCACAAGAGGTTTCCTTAGTGGACGGCCCCTCCCTATTTTCCGCTGCTTTGAAAATATATCTGACTGAAGAAAAAAAAAACATAATTAGAGGAAAAAGGTTGTTGATGGAAATAGAAGTCTCTTTTTTTCTGTAGCCACTCCAAAGTCCGAACGAAGTCTTTTGTATTTTACAGCGGGTGAATCTGTTGTCACTGGTGATTGTCGTTTGAACCTTTCTGGATCTGCCATCAAATTGATACGTTTAATTATATCAAGTGCTATGAGAAAAGTCTATAAATCTCCACCTCCACCATCCTCAAATGCAACATAACTTATACTAGCCGAGACTCCTTCTTTATGTTTTTTATGTGAACAGATGTGACGCAAAGTAATGACGCAAAGACATGCTCGAAACTCCCACCGAAATCTACCAGTACCACTGGAATTAAAAACATTATTACAAGCTTACCGTTTTGAAGCGAGCTAAGGCAAGCAGGTAGTTTTGAACACTGGCTAGTTATGTACTTACTCTGAAATGTTCTAACATTAACATTTTTAACCCAAAAAAGTTACGGACTGGAGCTTTAAATAGAAATACATTTCTATTTCAATTTCTAGTTACTTCACTAATATATACTTTATATTACTTTTTGGACCAGCTTATTTACACATGTCCTACTGCTCTCTAGAAACACTGACACTACTCACACTGATGGAGTCCAGCTGCTGGCGAAAGGCTAGCTCCGCCTCCTTATTAGGAGAGAACATCCGCAACTGGCGGGAGCTGTTAGGAGGCAGGGTCGTTGGGACAGCAAACCCTTCGCTGTCGCCTCCGGAGGCCAGCAGAGAACGCGGTAGGTTCCTCCCTCCTGCCGAGAACACATCTATTTAAATTCCAGCAGGTCAATCTGACACAGAGCAGGAGCACTGCAATACCCTTTTGTCACAATAGCGAGTTAATATGATTATTTTTTTATTCAAAAGATGGTATGAAACGTCAGGATTTTTTCTCTGTTACCTGTTGCTGGTCTATTGATTTGGGAACAATATACTTTGCTCAGTTTTGGGATAATGTTCAATATACTCACTAAAATTAAAGTGTTTCATTATTTAAATATTTCTTCTATACCAGTTTAATGTGCAATTAACTAAACCATTTACAACAAATACACAGCACCTGTCTGTGAAACTATCTGCTAAACAAAGGCAAATCGGGGCAATATTTGTGAAAATTCATTATTTCTACAATTCCAGATTTCAGAAATGACACTCTTTAACTTAATAGACACAATTTTGTCTCTGTACCTGGGATGACTGCATTATTCAGAAGAATTTTTGAGCGTGCCGCATGTTGCTGTCGCCCCCAGCTAGGACTACGGGTCGCTCCAGCTTGAGTTCTGCCTGGAGGTGTCACAGATGATTCCTCTTGACCTGATTTAAATGGTGAAGTGCCCACTGAACACACCTCTGGGGTCTAGGACAGAGAAAATAAAAATATATGATTACAATTAAATTAAAACACTTTTTGTAAATTAATTTAAACATATCTCAGTTTAAAAACACAAATAAAAGTTTAAAAATGTAAATTCAATACAAATACACACATTAACGGAATCACAGAAGCACAACTTCTAGTGCACACTGGTCTTATATTTATTTATATGCACAGTTTTCATTTAAAATTTCTAACAAAAGTTTGTTTTGTGGCTTTTATGGTGTGTTTGTGTAAGTGTAGAGGTGAAAGAGAGAAAAAAAAAACAGACTCACTGGTTTGGGGTTGACCTCTGAGGACACTAGTCTCAGGAGACACCGAAGCACACTTTGAGTGCTGGGTAGGGCTGAGGGCTGGGGCTTAGGTTGCCATTCATACTCCAGCTGTAGTTTCCCAGGCTTGCCCAGCATGAGGTAGAGTTCTGCCAGTGTCACATTCTCAGAGCCCTGTGAGCTCCAACCATCATCTCGGATTTGTTGAGGAGATCGTTCAGTCCCGCCCACTTCCTCACCACGCCCTTGAGGTTCTGATTGCGGCAGTGCTTTTTCTGATGCAACTTCACCTGCCGTTCCAGGGTCCTCAATCCGACCCTCTATAAGGGTGGGTTCTCCCTGAGTGACAGTCTCTTTGTCCCGCACACTATCATCAGTCTGACTCACCGCCTCTTGCTCCACAGTCCCCACCGCATTCCCCTCCTGTCCAACGGGGAGAGATGGACTGATGGTTGGACTGACTGGAGAGGTAGTGTTCAGAGTGGGATTTACACTGGTCTCCAAACCTGGAGTGGAAGTGCCACTATCAGAGCCTTCAACAGGATGACCGTCGCTTCTTTTCGGGTCTCCTCCCACCGGGCCCGACTTGCCTGATTTTCCTCTAGCAGGCTGAATTCCCAGAATGTGAGCTGCAGGCAAGTCCCTAATACCTGTCCGTCCACGCCCACTCTCCTGCCAGTGTACAGTGCAGGAAGCCTTGGAGTGCACAACACGAGCCACACCTGGCAAAGTAGTAACTGTACTGTTCTCTGCAGGAAACAGGAACAGGTCCTCCGACTCACTAGACTGGGCCAAGCTGTCGAGGGCTTCTCGTTCCGCTAGGCTCTTACGCTATGCATGACAAGTTAAGGAGAATAACTGTTATAAAGCACATAAGCATGAGTACTTGCTTTAACATGGACATCTCTGACAAATTTCCATAACAAAGCTTACAAATCTATCACAAATGTATCCCATAAAATAGAGGAGGAAGGAAAAAGGACGGAAATTAAACTTTTGACTGCATGCTGAGATCTGAAATCTGAGTGCAAGGATACAATTCGTTGATCTTGGACAGCCCATTTCTGCTTCAGGAATTCAATGAGAGTGGAGACCTTCCGGTGCAACTCGACGACCATCCTACAAACACATCACAGGCATGGGTGAATATTACAACTTTAATGTTGCAATGAAATTGAAGTATCGACAGATATTTTCTTCCGTATGGTGGTGTACATGTAAGTGTAACGCATTATCGGTGCGTATATATATTATATATAAGTGGACAAAAATATTGGAGAATAACAACATTCACCAACAGAACGAATTAGATTCTTGCTGATACACAGCCCTACTGTGTACTGGTGAAGCTCACCTGAGCCGAGGATTATGGGCTAGACTCTGAACCCGAGACCAGGAGTGATTGCTTCGTGGCTGAAGTTCGACGGCCACCTTCAAAGGTAAACGAACAGGCTTCTGATCCTCTTCATCACTCACACCTGAAATAGAGAATGAAAGGAAGAAAAACTATGATGAACTATTCTCCATGATTTTGACGGTGGCCTAAATCTGCATTACCGCCCATTTCCACTCAGTCCCACAGCCTAAAACCATGGAAACCATGTAGAATCACTCCTCCTACACCCTGGAGAGCAGCCTTGGCACACTCATCCATCGCCCCAGTCCACCTAAATACCCATGGTGCTCCATTTTTTCAGCTTTCTTTTGTTACCCTCTATTCAATCTATTTAACTCTCTTACTAAATCAATCTTTCAAGAGTGTTTTTGCTTTCTCTCACACACACACCATCTGGATCGCAGAGCTTCTTCAGCGCGCGGCACATTGGAGCTTTAATCCTCAGGTTTCTGCCTTTGGAACGCACTGTGGTGGCCCTGAAACACATACACACAAAATTATAGATGTACCCCAAAATTATCACAACCTATAAAGATAATGTACAGTAGATGTTCCAATTAGAAATCACCACAACTGTGTATTACTGAAATTTCTTTTTCTTACACTTACCCTTGTTGGATAAGCTCATTAAGTTTGGCTACATTTTTGTCATCCATCACTAGAAGGAACAGAAAGACACCAGGGAATGTTACATTCAATATGTCCACATGTGCAACCACTTAAAATGACCCCCCCCCCGATCCAGAAAACCACTTGACACATATACTTACAGCCTCCGACCTTCTTCCTGAGTTCAGCATAACAGATGAGGCCATAGAGCTCCTGAGAAGACTTTTTCAGGACACGTGAATACACTGATAAAAGGAAGCAATAGGATAGGAGAAAAAAGAACATGAAATTATTGAGCAAGTCAAATAAAAAAATAGAGTAAAAAGATATAGTTAAAATAACTTTTCTATTTGAATATATTATTTTAAAATGTAGTTTATTCCTGTGATGTTAAAGCTGAGTCTTTATCATTCAATCATTCTAATATGATGATCTGATGCTCAAGACACATTTCTTATTATTATCATTGATGAAAACATAATTTAATTGTTTTCAGGATTTATGGAAGAATAGAAAATAGAGAACAGCATTTATTTGAAATAGAAATCTTTTTGTAACATTATAAATGTCTTTACTATGACTTTTTTTTATCAATTTAATGAATTGTTTCTGATTACATAAGTATTTGTTTAAAAAAAAAAAAAAAAAAAAATCAATCGAACTGACCCCAAAATTTTAAGCGGTACTGCATGCTTTTTTTTATCATGATCAGCATTCAACCCGATAAAGACAATGTACGACAAATATAGAAGTATATAAATATACAAGTAGAGTTCAATGCCGTTTATAATACATTTATATATGCTAAACATGTACGCTTCAAATCACAATAAGTAGGATGCAATACAAAACCATTAAAAAGCAAGCAAATTTGGATAATGTGGACACACTCATAATTTGATAATGTCTTGACAGACAAAAACCAAGTGGTGTGGCAGCCAAGAAGATTAAACTTCAAAGATGAACATGACAGAATGAATTTAAATTGGTTCATAGGTACTGTATGGACAACTAACCATCTGCTCCTATCAAACAAAGGTCTCTACTGTGGTCTGTAAATGTCATACAAAGTATAAACTGTGCATCTGTCAATCTCACCGTTGGTGAAATCGATGTGTTTAGAGATCTTGTGCCAGGTTCTGTAGTAGAAATGGCGCACCTGCTCCTTGTTCTTCACCATACTTGCCGGTTTACCCTTCTTCTTATATTTAAGAGCAATATTGTTCTGAATAGCTTCAAAATCCTTGCCATGCTATGAAAGAACAGGAGAGACAATGACAAACAGTTATCCAAAGCTGTAGATTAAATTAAATACAAAATATATTAAATGAATCTTCCATTTACATGACAAATTAGAGTGTAGATAGAAATAAATCAATATAAGATATCACAGACCACAACTGTACTTTTAGAGAAACTAAACTATTAGGACAGTTAAACAGCAGTCTGTCTCTTGCGAGTCAAGGCGGGACGGAAACTTTAATGATGGAACTTATTCAGTAATACTGAAAATTATTTTGTCCCATATGATTAACTAATTTAATTTTTTTTCAAATCTCCATTGAAAAAACCTTCAGTTTACAGAACGTTCAGAGGGCTGCCAAAAGATTTCAGCAAGTTTCATTTTCATTAATGTCAAATTAAAATTGTAAAATTACCTCATAAAGTCCTTCAAAGAAACTGTTCTTGTCCTCAGTGCTCCAAGACTCCCACTGTCTGCGCACTCGTTTCTGACTCCCCCCTTCCTCCTTCTCTGCAGGGCCCTGGCCCTTTGGGGCTGATCTGGATGCTCCAGCTGCCCCAGAGCCGGCTGAACCCGCAGAAGCTGTCAAACACACAGAGGGACCTGCTTCTGCACCTGAGAAAGAGAGGGGAAAAGAAAGAAGGTTAGTATGTCAGTTCTAACACAAGCTGTAATTCTTGCAGAGAAAATTATTGCAACAAGTTCAAGATCAAAAAGTACTTGTGTATATATAACCAAACTGTCATAAATACACAAAATATATAAATAAAGAGTGATAAAATAAACTTGCTTAATTTATTTTGGCTTAACATAACAGATTTTCAAAACCAAGGAAACAAAACCACTCTTTAAAAAGAAAAGAAGCAAATAACCACCTGAAACAAATAATTTAAATTGCATACAATTCAAATTTGTGCATGTCAGGAAGTATGTCTGGAGTCCCGACTCCCTCCCCACTTAAACACACTCAAGAGCATCCAACAAGAGCACCATGCTATGCTATCTACATTTTAAATAAACATGGATTCCCTTATAACCCCTGTGTACATTCAGATCACAAACAGATAATTCAAGCTTGTGACTTGTGATCCTGATTCACTGTAGAGGCAGAGTGGTCACTCATCCCCTGATCAGATGCACAGCTGGCTCTTGCATCAGAATGAAACTCCTGCCAGTGATTTGTCACCTTCTGAATGACAGCTGAATGACAGGAAAATAAATAACCATTGAGTATGCTAACTTAAAATAGTGCACTGATGCTTATTAAGTCATTTAATATGGCTAAAAGCAACATCCAAGTGCTGAGATTTAAGAGGCTTCAGTGTGAGGAGTTAAAGTGACTTTCACTCCCAGAAAGCGTGAGAGCTTCCCCGCGTTACGTCCAATCAAAAACAGCACACAAACTCACAGGTCATTGTACAAATGCTTTAAAAAACACGAAAGAAAAGTGAGATAAAAGTACAGAGAACGGATGTACTGACACTTGAGCATCGCACACACGTCGAGAGATGGCCACTCACCTTTCGCTTTCGCACCGCCGTGACCGTTCAGCGCCGGGGACGAGGCATCTTTCCGTATCCGCTTGCTCGGAGGTCGCACGCTGGAGCGAAGAAAATGATGCTGGTCCTGGCTGTTCGGGGCAGTCAGGGCCGGGGAAAGGGCTGTCGGGTTTAGCTGGACTCCGGGTGGGCTTGATGTTTGGGTGGAAAGAGTCGGAGCCAAACCGGGGCTGGCCGCGCTTGATGGATTAAGTGTTTCCTCTCCGACTCTCTTTGTACTCTCCTCGCTCGCCTGATCTGCGCTCTCTCCATCCTCGCCTCCTTCGGGCTTTCGGTCCGGTTTGCTCGGCCCCTCGACTCCCGAACCGCCCCCTTGGCCCACTGTCATCCTGCGCAAACACAAACCAAGCATATTCGTAAACATTTTCCGCGACTCAAAACAACGATCAACTTGGAAAGACGACATTCTGCTCAACTCAACATGGCCGCCGCTGTTTGTTTCAAATCCCCTCTCACCGTCCCGACAAATCGCATCGAAAAATATCCACTCGCTTATTCACGAATGTGACCAAAAACATTTATTCTGCTCTCATCACAGACTCCTTTTTGTGTAGTTTTTCGTGACTCGGGTTGCAAGCTGTCCTTTATTTATCTTGAAATTCAAGCGCGAGCGCCTACACTTTAGCGCCCAGCAGAAACGACAGACGACAACGCAAATCTTTCGCGCATTCGACCTCTATCTAAAGTGCTTGTTTCTCAAGCACTCTTACCCATTCTCGAGCTCTTCGGATGCAGACGGCGTCTTCTTTCTCTTCACCATGAGTTCGGAGATTTTCGAGGCCAAAACTTGACGAATTTGAACATATTCAAAGCGCAAACGAGGTCAGGCAAAGTCGTCCTCTCCTGGCTGCTGCTCCTACTGGGGTTCAACTCCGCGCAGCGCAACTGGGAGCTCTCGTAGCCACAGCAACTCTGACTCACAAACTCACTAGTTTTATCACAACAACAAACACCTGTCATTCGGCATATGTTTATGATAAAACACCGCACGATGACGCCAACTTTGAATCTGACTGTTCACCAGATCTGCTTTTGAGGCATTTCGGTCAATCCTAACTCTCTCTCTCTGGACTTTGCTTACACTATACGTCATCATAACTAACAGAGCAGAAGCATTTCAACATGTAACATTTTAATTTTGCTCAGTGACACCCACAGTCTCTATACATCCCAAAATAAAATGGCTACAGTGTTAAATGATTTTATAATCTCAAAAAACAAGCAGGACAGACTTTGATAGAGCACATATAGATCACGTTCTCGAGAAGGGGTGTGGTTGAGATGGTGCTTTGCATACACAGCAATAAATTAAACAATAGCAGATATAACAGTGACTACTTCTAGAATCTTTCATCTTTACTGCTTTTTTTAAATAAAAAGTCACTAGACAATGTTTTGCTTGATTAGGATGTGTCTTTGGCTCATAAGAGCTTAAAATCTGTTGACATTACAGACTGTCAAAAAAATGTCAAAACACGCTTTCCACTATAAATGTAGCAAACATGCATGTTTAGATGTTAGAGTTACGTTGCTTCATATTATTTTTTTTAAACATTATTGCAGTCAAGACTGAGACATCTATATTGTGGGTGCAAAACAACTTTTAGCTTGATTTATCCCATTAATTACATTGTCATAACGTCTTTATGAAATAAGATACAGTTAGGCAATGCCGATCTCAGCTGCTCAACCACTGCTACCAACAGCTGCAGCTGTCAATGTCCCTGCGTGTCCAGTCCAGTTTGAAAGGAGCAGTTTGATGAAAAAAAAAGCTTTTATTTCCCCTCTTTGGGCATTCAAGTTAGATTTTCTAAAAAGTGTAGACCTTATAACAAGTATAAAACATATCACATTTATTTTGCCTACAAAGAACCCCAGTGACTGTGCACCAACTGTGACAGTTATAAATAAAGAAATACATTGTCAACTTGATTCAGTATCAGTTGTGAATACTACACAATTATCCGGGTTATTTAGCTATCAAACATCTTTTGATGGGCTTAAAATAATGCATGAAGGAGAGGCTGTTAGTTTGATTACACCATAAACGAATTGCAACAGCTGACACAAAACCAGCAGTGCCAGCTGCACATACTGACAAAGTTGCTCCGCTAACTTGCTAGCTAAACAGTTGCCGTTTCTTTTGCGGTAAAGTCATATCAGCTCAGACATGTAATCAATAATTACGTATTGACAAAAATTATCTTTACAAGTTCTATACCTGTTTAGGAGATTTCTTATTGGCCTTGAGAAACTCCACGGTATCCAGAAAGACCAAACAGAGGAGTAGCATGAGAACCACTGAAGTGCATAACTTCCTGTTTTCCTCTGCTGTCAGGCACGCCTACCACAACTCAAAAACAAATCATCTGATTGGTCAATGGGATGCGCATCGACGCGTTCGTAAAATGATTGACGGAGGAGTTATCCAGTCAATCATTAAAAATAGTGGGGCGTTTTTTCAAAGCATCCAATCAAAACTTACGTTCAAGCAACGTCATTTCATTCATCTCGCAAATGTTTTAAAATAACGGTCCCACCCAAAATGAACAAAGACCGACAGACACTCAAGGAAAACACGAGGCAATCAGTTAATGTTAGTGAAAGTCGATATATATATGTGTATAGAACATAATTAAAATAAATATGTACAATATTTTGTTCAGAACAACAATTAAAATGTTGAATACTAATAATAAAATAAAATATTTAATATTAAAATTCATGTTCATATATTGTATTCAATAAAATATTTAATATATCAAGATTTAAAATATTGACTGACTTTCTCTCTATATATATATATAAATATAAAATATATGTATATATAAATATATATAACAAAATAATATATATATAACACACACACACACACACACACATATATGTATATATATATATATGTTATATACATATGTTTTATGTTTCTATATATAGAGAGAGTCATAGTCAATATTTTAAATATTGATATATTAAATATTTTATTGAATATATGTAATATACGAACAATAATTTTAATCTTCAGTATTTTATTTTATTATTAGCATTCAACATTTTAATTGTTGTTCTGAACAAAATATTTGTACATATTTATTTTAATTATGTAAACAAACATATAAAGCACAACAAGGTCTTCCCATTTTACATAAATCTTGAAAACATTGGGAAAAAATTATTACTGGATGGTCATGAGACAACAGAAATCATGTAGAAAAAAAAACGTATTTGGTGCATTTATACCTGTGAATATAAAATGTACTATTTTAATATCATATATACAATTTTAACACTCTTGTCATAATTTTTCATAACAAACCTTCATATAATTTATATATTTTTTTCTCTATGAATTGATGTATTTTTAATAATCGATTTTATGACGGACAGGGAAGTAAGACGTACTTTGAGCTGACCAATCAACTCACTCTGTTGGTCATATATAACCTGACAGCCAATAGAATTCTAGTTCAGTCGGGGATTGATTTCTATCAGAGCCATTCCCATAATCATATTTGCAGCTCTGCATTTGAGCTGTCCAATCCTCTCTGGGCGTGGTCAGTCAGACTTCACTTCTTTGGCAAAGTCTTTTAGTTCAGCAGTTGTGGCAGCAGAGCACTAGTTTCTGTTGGAGGGCTGTCTGTTGTTAAAGTTATTGGGTCACGGCGCAGTAGACCGAGACAAGCAACCATGACTTCAACCAATATGTTTCAGGGACTTGAATCTAGTGGCAAACCAAGTTCAAGGTATGGTGTGTGTGCTGACAGTATGTCTGGATCAAATCAGTGTTTATTGTTAGTTTGGTGTTGATTCAATCATCTGTTTATCTGTATCATTAAAGTTAATCATGATTATTTAGGGGTGGAAGAGAGCGGAACTTTAGCATGGCCAAGCGCTAACGTTACATGCTAACTCATATTAGCTAAGAGACTGCTACGTGTATTTAATGCACCGAGTGAGGTCACATTTCTGTATATAACAATTTAAATAAACAGCCGTGGAATGTGTGTGAGGTGGTTAAATGCAATATTACAAACTATATTGTTTTTAACTCAGTCAGTATTGTTTGTTAGCCGTTAGCGGCAAATGTCCCGAGACTCAATTATAAGTTTTATCAGCCACAAAGACGTATTTTACTTTTAAATGAAATGCGTATTTGCAGTTTTAAATGGTGGCTACGTTTAAGAAAACGGTATTTTTTTAGTAATAAATGTAAATTTATGCACAATGCAGACTTTGAAGTAGGCACATTTCCTGGAAACGTTATTTTTCGGAAACGAAATTATGCCGCAGGGTTTCGTTTTGTTTATTGTGGTAGGCTTTCATTTTCGGGAATAAATGCACGAATTATATTAAAATTCAGCGTTTGACGTTGGGTAAAACTTTATGGCCCATAAAGCCGGTGTCGTGCCAAGGTACTTACCCCTGAAAGGAAGTGTATCCCCGGTCGCGGGAGCGCGCACGCATTCAGCAGGAGGTGTGTCATTACTTTGTCCAAGATGAATTAAACTATAACACGTGAATTGTTTAAGTCATCGTTTTACTGTTGTTGTTGTTTTGTTTTTTTTTATCGACGAGGTTTAGCAAAGACAGATATCATGTGGCCCATCAAAAACTAATTATTTTGTGGGCAAACGATCTAGCTTCATGCACGGAATGGATCAATTCTCACGAGAATGTACTGAAAAACTAAGACGACCATATCGTTTCACAAGCAAACAGCCCGTGGATATAAAATTGTTCTTACCCCCCCCCCCTCCTCCTCCTTCCATGGTGAATTATTACCAAAATCATTCAATAATGCATTGCACTTATACATAGGCAAACAACGATTTTACCGATGATGGCCTATCATCAAGTGTTTTATTTTATGAATACTGTACATCATGTCTAATAACAGCAGTGAATATGAACACATTTCCTATTTCCTGACTAAAGTTATAGTGGGATACAGATTTTTTCAGACCGTATTTTCGACCTGCCAAAATATGTATCCCCCCCCCCTAAAATCTACAGGTGATGGCCTATCATCTAGTGTTTTATTTTATGAATACTGTACATCATGTCTAATAACAGCAGTGAATATGAACACATTTCTTGTTTTCTGACAAAAGTTATAGTGGGATACAGATTTTTTCAGACCGTATTTTCGACCTGCCAAAATATGTATCCCCCCCCCAAAATCTACAGGTGATGGCCTATCATCTAGTGTTTTATTTTATGAATACTGTACATCATGTCTAATAACAGCAGTGAATATGAACACATTTCCTATTTCCTGACTAAAGTTATAGTGGGATACAGATTTTTTCAGACCGTATTTTCGACCTGCCAAAATATGTATCCCCCCCCCCTAAAATCTACAGGTGATGGCCTATCATCTAGCGTTTTATTTTATGAATACTGTACATCATGTCAAATAACAGCAGTGAATATGAACACATTTCCTATTTCCTGACTAAAGTTATAGTGGGATACAGATTTTTTCAGACCGTATTTTCGACCTGCCAAAAGATGTATCCCCCCCCCCTAAAATCTACAGGTGATGGCCTATCATCTAGTGTTTTATTTTATGAATACTGTACATCATGTCTAATAACAGCAGTGAATATGAACACATTTCTTGTTTTCTGACAAAAGTTATAGTGGGATACAGATTTTTTCAGACCGTATTTTCGACCTGCCAAAATATGTATCCCCCCCCTAAAATCTACAGGTGATGGCCTATCATCTAGTGTTTTATTTTATGAATACTGTACATCATGTCTAATAACAGCAGTGAATATGAACACATTTCCTATTTCCTGACTAAAGTTATAGTGGGATACAGATTTTTTCAGACCGTATTTTCGACCTGCCAAAATATGTACCCCCCCCCCCTAAAATCTACAGGTGATGGCCTATCATCTAGTGTTTTTTTTTATGAATACTGTACATCATGTCTAATAACAGCAGTGAATATGAACACATTTCTTGTTTTCTGACAAAAGTTATAGTGGGATACAGATTTTTTCAGACCGTATTTTCGACCTGCCAAAATATGTATCCCCCCCCCCCCTAAAATCTACAGGTGATGGCCTATCATCTAGTGTTTTATTTTATGAATACTGTACATCATGTCTAATAACAGCAGTGAATATGAACACATTTCCTATTTCCTGACTAAAGTTATAGTGGGATACAGATTTTTTCAGACCGTATTTTCGACCTGCCAAAATATGTACCCCCCCCCTAAAATCTACAGGTGATGGCCTATCATCTAGTGTTTTATTTTATGAATACTGTACATCATGTCTAATAACAGCAGTGAATATGAACACATTTCTTGTTTTCTGACAAAAGTTATAGTGGGATACAGATTTTTTCAGACCGTATTTTCGACCTGCCAAAATATGTACCCCCCCCCCCCCCCCTAAAATCTACAGGTGATGGCCTATCATCTAGTGTTTTATTTTATGAATACTGTACATCATGTCTAATAACAGCAGTGAATATGAACACATTTCTTGTTTTCTGACAAAAGTTATAGTGGGATACAGATTTTTTCAGACCGTATTTTCGACCTGCCAAAATATGTATCCCCCCCCCTAAAATCTACAGGTGATGGCTTATCATCTAGTGTTTTATTTTATGAATACTGTACATCATGTCTAATAACAGCAGTGAATATGAACACATTTCCTATTTCCTGACTAAAGTTATAGTGGGATACAGATTTTTTCAGACCGTATTTTCGACCTGCTATAAAAGGTATCCCCCTCTCCATATTCCACAGATGATGGACTATCAACGTCTCCACTTCCTGTGGCGCCAAGAAAGCAAGATAAGACCCCCGCCATCCATCTTGAGCAGCACCCGTCCCACTTTGTGCTGGACCGCACGTCGCATATTGAGATAATGTCCCGCATCAGTCTGTTGGTTTTTAATAATTTTAAGATGATAAGACACATACTTGGAAGGTGTAATAATACAACAAGATTTAATCAATAAATTCCTCCGGAACAATAATGTACACAAAATTAAGGAGTACAAGCAGTACACAGGAAGGCCTCCTCCGTTGGTGGGCTTTTAACACACATATGGTGGAACCACCGCAAACAAACGTCACACTGAATCTGGAAAACAAATTATTTGGATTCAGTAAGAGGTTGCAAATTTTCATTCCTGTGTAATTGATATTTGTAATATACTGTACAGTAATTATTGTGGAGATAAAATAATTATGTAATGTTTGTAAGTCCTGGGCAAAATAGAAGAAATATAATATAAATATCCAACATAACACTACAATAAAATTCTTAATAACTTTATATCAAAACATATTTCATTTCACATTTCTTAAGTTTGATTTACCCAGCTCAAATCTTCCTTGGGTCCTTCTGATCCACAGAAGTGACATATGTCAGTCAGGTCATCTTAGAAACAAAACAAAACACAGAGCATGAATCTATAATTCTTAGTTTTTCCACACAAATATTTTTTAGGTTAGTATGGAATAATTCTGATGGCTCCATAAAATTAAAAATTCAAATAGTATGAATAATGAACAAATAAAATATACACCACCATTAATTTAGATCATTGACAGTTTTATACATTGAGAATTTATTAAACCAAAAACGTTCACTGCTGTTATTAGACATGATGTACAGTATTCACAAAATAAAACACTTGATGATAGGCCATCACATGTAGATTTTAGGGGGGGATACATATTTTGGCAGGTCGAAAATACGGTCTGAAAAAATCTGTATCCCACTATAACTTTAGTCAGGAAATAGGAAATGTGTTCATATTCACTGCTGTTATTAGACATGATGTACAGTATTCATAAAATAAAACACTAGATGATAAGCCATCACCTGTAGATTTTAGGGGGGGGGATACATATTTTGGCAGGTCGAAAATACGGTCTGAAAAAATCTGTATCCCACTATAACTTTAGTCAGGAAATAGGAAATGTGTTCATATTCACTGCTGTTATTAGACATGATGTACAGTATTCATAAAATAAAACACTAGATGATAGGCCATCACCTGTAGATTTTAGGGGGGGGGGGTACATATTTTGGCAGGTCGAAAATACGGTCTGAAAAAATCTGTATCCCACTATAACTTTAGTCAGGAAATAGGAAATGTGTTCATATTCACTGCTGTTATTAGACATGATGTACAGTATTCATAAAATAAAACACTAGATGATAGGCCATCACCTGTAGATTTTGGGGGGGGGGATACATATTTTGGCAGGTCGAAAATACGGTCTGAAAAAATCTGTATCCCACTATAACTTTAGTCAGGAAATAGGAAATGTGTTCATATTCACTGCTGTTATTTGACATGATGTACAGTATTCATAAAATAAAACACTAGATGATAGGCCATCACCTGTAGATTTTAGGGGGGGGATACATATTTTGGCAGGTCGAAAATACGGTCTGAAAAAATCTGTATCCCACTATAACTTTAGTCAGGAAATAGGAAATGTGTTCATATTCACTGCTGTTATTAGACATGATGTACAGTATTCATAAAATAAAACACTAGATGATAGGCCATCACCTGTAGATTTTGGGGGGGGGATACATATTTTGGCAGGTCGAAAATACGGTCTGAAAAAATCTGTATCCCACTATAACTTTAGTCAGGAAATAGGAAATGTGTTCATATTCACTGCTGTTATTTGACATGATGTACAGTATTCATAAAATAAAACACTAGATTATAGGCCATCACCTGTAGATTTTAGGGGGGGGGTACATATTTTGGCAGGTCGAAAATACGGTCTGAAAAAATCTGTATCCCACTATAACTTTAGTCAGGAAATAGGAAATGTGTTCATATTCACTGCTGTTATTAGACATGATGTACAGTATTCATAAAATAAAACACTAGATGATAGGCCATCACCTGTAGATTTTAGGGGGGGGGGGGGTACATATTTTGGCAGGTCGAAAATACGGTCTGAAAAAATCTGTATCCCACTATAACTTTAGTCAGAAAACAAGAAATGTGTTCATATTCACTGCTGTTATTAGACATGATGTACAGTATTCATAAAATAAAACACTAGATGATAGGCCATCACCTGTAGATTTTAGGGGGGGGGGTACATATTTTGGCAGGTCGAAAATACGGTCTGAAAAAATCTGTATCCCACTATAACTTTTGTCAGAAAACAAGAAATGTGTTCATATTCACTGCTGTTATTAGACATGATGTACAGTATTCATAAAATAAAACACTAGATTATAGGCCATCACCTGTAGATTTTAGGGGGGGGATACATATTTTGGCAGGTCGAAAATACGGTCTGAAAAAATCTGTATCCCACTATAACTTTAGTCAGGAAATAGGAAATGTGTTCATATTCACTGCTGTTATTAGACATGATGTACAGTATTCATAAAATAAAACACTAGATGATAAGCCATCACCTGTAGATTTTAGGGGGGGGGTACATATTTTGGCAGGTCGAAAATACGGTCTGAAAAAATCTGTATCCCACTATAACTTTTGTCAGAAAACAAGAAATGTGTTCATATTCACTGCTGTTATTAGACATGATGTACAGTATTCATAAAATAAAACACTAGATGATAGGCCATCACCTGTAGATTTTGGGGGGGGGGGGTACATATTTTGGCAGGTCGAAAATACGGTCTGAAAAAATCTGTATCCCACTATAACTTTTGTCAGAAAACAAGAAATGTGTTCATATTCACTGCTGTTATTAGACATGATGTACAGTATTCATAAAATAAAACACTAGATGATAGGCCATCACCTGTAGATTTTAGGGGGGGGGATACATATTTTGGCAGGTCGAAAATACGGTCTGAAAAAATCTGTATCCCACTATAACTTTAGTCAGGAAATAGGAAATGTGTTCATATTCACTGCTGTTATTAGACATGATGTACAGTATTCATAAAATAAAACACTTGATGATAGGCCATCATCGGTAAAATCGTTGTTTGCCTATGTATAAGTGCAATGCATTATTGAATGATTTTGGTAATAATTCACCATGGAAGGAGGAGGAGGGGGGGGGGGGTAAGAACAATTTTATATCCACGGGCTGTTTGCTTGTGAAACGATATGGTCGTCTTAGTTTTTCAGTACATTCTCGTGAGAATTGATCCATTCCGTGCATGAAGCTAGATCGTTTGCCCACAAAATAATTAGTTTTTGATGGGCCACATGATATCTGTCTTTGCTAAACCTCGTCGATAAAAAAAAACAAAACAACAACAACAGTAAAACGATGACTTAAACAATTCACGTGTTATAGTTTAATTCATCTTGGACAAAGTAATGACACACCTCCTGCTGAATGCGTGCGCGCTCCCGCGACCGGGGATACACTTCCTTTCAGGGGTAAGTACCTTGGCACGACACCGGACCGCCTAATCTCACAACTGCAGTTGCGATGTTCAGCCTCACATATATGGTTGCGCTGTGCTGCAAAGTTACGTGTTGTTTTTAGGTCATTTCTCAGTACAATTCCCATTATTGGGATAAAATACAATATTCGTGTGAATCCATGTACAAATATTTCTATAACTGTGTTTAGGGTACTAAGACCTCCAGGTGGAGGGTCCAGCAATCTCTTCGGTGGTTATGAAGAAGACACTTCTGCCTCCAGACGGCCAAACAAAATGTCCTCCTCTATTTTTGCGCCTGCAGAAGAATCTCAGGGGAGTCCCAAACGCTCCAATCCCCCAGGTGAGCTTTCATCAGACAGTGTATTTTCTGTCTTGGGCCTCTTGCTCTCTCCGAGTCAAATTCATCACCACACTGTTACTCAGTTTGATGCGTTTGAGTCTCGCTCTCAGCCACTATGCAAACGGGCACTTTTACATTTACATTTGTTATCTTGTCATCAATAGCAAAGCCTTTACCTCAGTCTGGAAACATAACCAGTCAGTTAACGCTGTGAGATCACACACGGTCTGAACTGATGAAATTGCACATCTAGATGGATAAGGTTAAAGATCACATTGCTAAATCAGTAGAGGCTCTGTCGTAGGATAAGCATTGATCTGAAGTTATAAGTGTGGTCCTCTTCTGTTTTTCATGCTGTTCGCATGCTTTGCCCTGAAGGAGCAGCTGCTGAGCATGTCTTTTTTTTCTTTTTCTCACTGACATGCATAGAGTTTTGTAATTGAACAGGAAGAAACCTTCACTGTTTTAGAAGTTACCCAAAAATCCTGCAAAGGTTTATTATAGTGATACATTTTTATTACCTGACAATGCAATTACTGAAATAAAATCAGCTGTTTGCAAACACTAAATTAAACAAAAGCAAAAGTAATTTCCACCCAGTCCCTAAACTAAGGGCTATCTTCCACTATTCATGAAAACTTACTGTGGACTGTGCAATATCTATTTTAATGCAATGACGGCTAATTCTAATTAACTAAAATGAAAATGGAAAAACAAATTCTAAATATTAATAAAACTATAATAGTATCTCAGGTATACAAAAATACTGCTGCAAAGCTGTCATTCACTTGTGTAAATGAATATTGTTTCATTGAGACTATAATTGTACATGATTATTTGAATGTATTCCAGTAATTGCCATAACTAGAATAAGTGTATATTTACAAGCTCTGATTTGTGTCTCTTATTGTCTCAGGTGGAAAGAGCAGTGGGATATTTGGGGAGCCAGAGGCTCCTTTGCCTCGGAGTAGGGCGACTCACCATGGTGGAGGATCCAGTAACATCTTTGGGGGAGCAGAGTCGACCCCATCTTCTGTGAAAAGTCATCCTAACAAACCAAAGGTAGACAATCCCTAGCCAGGGCTTAAAAGCAAAAAGAATCAGTTCACTCTGAGCAGAATCGATATTTTAATGTTTCCATTTTAAAAATATTCGATTAGTTGATTTTATTGTAGAATATCAAATAAAAAGGTTGTGTGATTTATTGTCTTTAAAAAAAAACATTATTCTGTTTGGATGCAGTGGTGACGCGTTCATGTAAGACAGGTTGACTCTGCCAATAACGCACATAAAAGCTGTTAATCAACAATATCAGACTACAGAAGAACACATTTTATCGCACCAGAGCATGCGAGTAGTAATTTTCTTCCAGAGCAGAGAGAGTCTTTCTAGAAAATATGGTCGCTCAGAATGCGCTTGGCATACTAGACAAGTAGTTCATTAAAGCCATTAATCTAATCGCATATTTATATTAATTATAAATATGCACATTAAAATGTATGCAGTGTTATTTTAGATTTGATTATTTAATTTCTCTAACTGAAACCCATTATTAGACCTGCCTGGAAAAAAAAAAACTGAAATGCACTGTTCATTTCATTTGTATGTTTGTTTTATTGCAGGGGTCGCCAACCCTGCTCCTGGAGAGCTACTGTCCTGCAGATTTCCGCTCCAACCCCAATCAAACACACCTGGACCAGCTGTTCAGGGTTACTTGATAATTACAGGCAGGTGCGTTGGAACTGAGGTCTGCAGGACAGAAGCCCTCCAGCTGCAGGATTGGGGATCCCTATTATTATTATTATTTTTGTTTTTTGTTTTATTACTCTGGGACTTATTACTTATTTAGACTCAGATGGTTTACAAAAATAAATTGATTTAATGTGTGTAACAAATAACATATCATTAATGCTATAAAATAAAAATAAACTAAATGAACAAGTAAAAAAATCTTGTAAAAAAACCTGTCATCATCCAGTTTCTGAAAAAAAAAAAACTTGCCCCAAAAAATGTTGTTTTAAGACATTTTAAAATCTATACATATTGAGCACTTTAATTACACTTTAAGTTGGAAGTAGATGTATACCACAGAAAACCTTGAAAACTACCAAAACCACTTACTTCTCACCTTGAAATTAAAGTGACAAAAATGAAATTTGAAGGCCGAAGAAACACTTGGCACTGCAGATATTACACACAGCCATTCTTTTCTTGGCCATAAACTAAAGGAACGATTAAACCCATTTAAATTTTCACCTATTTACACTCTAACACCCTTCTTTTCTCCGTAGGACAACTTGGGTGTGGGTGTACCTGCTACTCCAGATCCACCAGGTAAAGAAACCCTGTGATTTACAAAATATTCGTCATGTTCTTCACGCCCTAGTTAATTTCTCATGCAATTCCTTTTCCCATGGATTTAAATCTCTCTTGCAGCCCCGGTGGCAAAGGAGGCGACTGTAGTTGAGGAAAAAGTGAAAGTGGAGCCAGTGTCTCCTCAACCCACACCTGAAAAAGAGGCAGCAGCCCCTCCCCCTGTCTCAGCTCCTGCCCCTGCCCCTGCCCCTGTCTCTTCCCCCGCCCCTGTCTCTGCACCTGCGCCGACAGCCAATCAGAAATCTGAGCCAGCCACACAGCAACCAACAGAAAAAGACCATGAGCCACGCCTCGGACCACGACCTCGCTCTCACAACAAAGTGCTCAACCCACCAGGTGGAAAGTCCAGTGTGGTTTTCTATTAGCCACAAGTGCTGCTTTCCATCATTGTCACTGCCCTTCTTCCATCTCCTTTTAACCTGTACTAAAACTTATCCTCTCTCATTTACTTTATCTTTTGGTTATTTCTTTCCCCTAAAGTCTGTCACTCTTCATTCCTTTATTGCTTTTGCACTTTCTGATTCATTCCTCACTTTCCTTTCCTCCTTTCCATCTAATTAGAATCAACTGTCACTCCAATAACTGAAGGGTTATGTTTCCTTTAAAATGGTTTGCATATACTGTGGTTTCTCTGTATGATTATGTTCTCTTAATTTGCTGATGTATTAAATGCAAGTTTGCCTCAAGAAACTCAGTACAGTCTATGCAGTGTTCAACTGGAACCACTGTTGGTCGCCAAAGCAAGCTCTTCAGTATCAGTGTGTGCAGATCTTCCTTTGAAACTCAGTGAATGTTTTCTGATGGTAATGGAAAATTTACTTTTGTGCAATAAGGTGACTTCATTGCTCCTTTTTCCCCTCTTGCATTTTTTTTAAACACCAAGCCAAATGTAAACGTAATAGCTCAGATGCAAAACCAAATGCAGAGTTGTAATTGATAATCGCGACGCACACATGTATGGCAATGTAGAGAATGTGTACAATCAGACATCACTAACATATTACATTGTTACAGTGTCCATACATGCATTTGAATGTAATCAGAGACCCTTAAAAGAATCCTCTGATATGCCTGATTCTGTACTTGAAAAGAGTTGCTGCGCCATGATTGTTTGGCCTTTGTTCCCATTAGCCATCTGCTTTATTCTTTACATGGCAGTCGGAAAGTCATATGATGTGTGTGGGCGTTTCCCACATTACTAGTGCCATCCCTGCCCAAAATACTTCAGTGGATGCTTGGCAATGTGACTGGCTGCAAAGATGTCACACAGAGACCTGTTTCATACAATACACTTCTGTATTGTTCATTTATATGCTGTATTGTGTTGCTTTTTTCCATGACAGTAAGATGTTTTACCATGTTGCTCTAAATAAACAGAAATCTTCGTTTAAAGAGTTGTGCTTGCTGAATCAGGTCAAGATTCTTTAGAGCAGGGTTTGTACACTGTGCTCAAAGGTTTAGTTCACTCAAAAATTAATATTGTCTTCATTCTAAAATGAACGAAGACCACCAGAAGGTTAAATAAACAACATTTACATTTGTTTCTGTTAGGACACTAACGACTTATTTGTATTTTTGACAATTGCCAGTATTCTACATGATATATTGAGCTATAATCTAGTTTTCTGATTGCCTTTTGAGCTGGACGGTCCATTATCCTAACCCTATCGCTAAACATAACTCCACCCATTATAGGTCCACAGTGGCATATCTGGACTCGAAAAGCTCCAACCATTTGGTCCACAGAGGGAGCAAATGGATGGTGCTTATATCTGGCTCCTCCATGTCCAGTGAGGAGGAGCGAATGGCATTTGGGCTTAATGGGTGGAGCTAGTATGTCAACCTACCCTACCCACAACTATCCTGGCTCCACCCCATTCGTGTCCAGAGAGGTGAAGCTGGATGTCATTTGACTCAACAGTGAGCATCACTTGCACAGAGGTGGATCTGTACTATAAAAGCTCCACCCATTTGGTCTCGTACAGAGGTGGAGCTGGACGCCATTTGGGTCTATCACCACTTGCATTGACGATTGTCTTTATGGCAATGCCATTTGAAGCCGCGTGGGGGCTAACAATCAACATGGTGCATTCTGTGATGGGTTTGGCAAGAACTTTTGCGGTCGGCTCTAAAAAAATGTTTCTGTGATGCCTTAAAGCGATTATCTTAAAATGGGAGCGTGACCTTATGTGCGATTCCCTGATTTATTTGTTAGTGTCGATTGCACGCTAAAAAAAATACATAAAAGTTTATGAATTTATTAATGCATTATATTAATATTGAAAAATATATATAATACTATAAATATATATATATAATAATATTGTTATATATTATTATATATAACAATAACAACATTATTTCTACTATAAATAATGTCGTTAATGGTTGGTGTTTGATAGCAGCAATGACAATGAGACATCACTTCTCCCTTGCTCCATGCAGGCGCTGTGACGTCAGCTGGCCCCTCCATCATCATCAGCCTACGAGGGAGAGTCACCGACGGAAACAGCATCACGCACCCCCGCCGCCCTGTCAACCACCACCGGATTGATTTAAAATGCCAAAAATTAGCAATCTGACATAACGCTAGAAAGCAGTCTCCGATTTTGCTACGGTAGCGGGCTAGCGGTAGCCATTTATTCCCGTATTTATTTATTTATGTATATAATTATTTATTTTCCTCCATTGATTTTTCAGTAATGGCTGGGCTCGCGAGCTGCGGCTGTTGAGAGGCAGGTGCGTCGTCAGAGACAGACGCGCGTTGGGCGTGATGCGATGGATTTCGCTCCATCCCAGCGATGAGACAGACGCAACCGGGGAATAATCGAGTGCTATAGCGAGGCGCGTGTGATCGCGCTGCCGACACTGGCGCAGGACGCACGGGCGGGGAAGAGGGCTTGTCCCCTCGCGAGCGCTCCGTCTGATCAACAAATATCGACTATTAAACGTTCGTGCGTCCCGAAATCCGGCTGTTGCTGCTGGTGAAACCGGGCCGTGGAGCGCAGCGGCATCATGTGCACCTGATGACATTGTCATGAATTCATAGAAAACATTTCGCCATTTCGATTCGTGTCGCGGCTGATTTATTTATTCTTTCTCTAATAACGAGCTTCGATCAAACGTCGCCAAGATGATGGAGCTGGACGAGGTGGTGTACCAGGACGATTACGGGGCCGTGTCTGTCATGTCCGAGCGGGTGTCGGGCCTGGCCAGCAGCATTTATCGGGAGTTCGAGCGCCTCATCAAGAGCTACGATGAGGAGGTGGTGAAGGAGCTGATGCCGCTGGTGGTGAATGTTCTGGAGAACCTCGACTCGGTTCTAACGGAGAACCAGGAGCATGAGGTGGAGCTGGAACTTCTCAAGGAGGACAACGAGCAACTCATCACGCAGTATGAACGGGAGAAATCGCTGCGCAAACAGGCGGAGGAGGTAAATAATAATATGATCTCATCGCTCATTATTTTCCTTCACGTTGTCCTATTTAAGCAGAAGTTTTGTTATCTGATCATAATAAACAAAAGCTAAGAGTAGCCTACCTTAGTAGACTACTTACATAAAATTCATAGATATCACTCGACATCTCCCAAAAATATGCCCAAGGATGACATTTAAATGCTCAGTTTTATGATTAAAGGCTCTGTAGTTTAAAACATATAAAGCGTGCAACACAGATGTACAAATAAACGTTCCTTAAAAGCCTTATGCATCATATTTGATGATTAATATGATTTTCTTAAAAAAAAGTCATTAAACATAAGAATAACAATGCATGAATGATCAAGTAAACCCAAGTTTCTTTAATCCAATAAAAATGTTCTTTCAATATAAAGGTTATTATAATGTTTGCTTTATTAAAGTAACCTTAAAGATGCAAAATGCTAATAATAACCAGGTGGACATTTTTTTAAATATAATACAGCTATTTTACTTAATATAAATGTATGAAATATCAATCAGATGACAGAAGGCATGTAGTATACTATTTACAACATGTTTTTAAGCAAGGTTTTGTTGTCTTTATAGGGTTAAAGCTTCTATGTACAAGAAGTACTACCTTCCTTCGTTATTTGATGGCATAAACAATTATTGCTGCTCTTTGAGAATTATGTTGTAACATCTGTATTCACCTGGTCAACTCATTATCCTTGACCCTGGGACATTCACTTGAGAAACTTTATACAGTCCTGTCATTTGCAATATGGGGGTTCCTCCAGAAAACCCTTGTATCCCATTATGTATTGTATGTGTTGCTCTACCTATTATTACTGGTGAAAATAAATCTTAAAATCTTACACAAAAGATTGTCTCATACCCATGTTTGTACATAAGTCATATGCAGAGACAAACACTCTTATCTTTTCTTTGTGCATCAGCACAGGCACTACTACTATGTAGGGAACAGATGCCCTTTCTGACCCTTCAGAAGCATCATAACCACATGCTAACACTGCCAAAACATTTTCCAAATGTAACTATATTATCGACTGCACAACTAGAGCATTATTGGCATTATTGTTGTGTTAAGTTTTATATCAGAGTGGAAACTGTGTAAGTAGGCTGTAATAAAAATGTGAGTGTTTTATGATTGTTAGTATAAAGATTCAGTGTGTGAAAATAAAATGGAAAGTGATGATAGAGCGGTCAAAACTGAGAAATGTAAATTTAAGAGCAGAAATGATTGTATATTATTGTATTGTAAAAGACAGAACGAAAATACATAAAAGAGTAAAAGAGAAAACAGAGGGTGTTTTTCAGTATCATATAGATGATTCAGAGAAGGAATATGTGCTGATGGAGTGCAGTAAACTGCAGTGATGCTTCTCATTACTTGGTTACTTCAGTTTCTGCAGTGTAAATGCTGGGATTTGCTATGTCGATTTACACGTGTGTGTGTAATAGTGTTTTTTATAATTAAAAAAAAAATACATTTTTTTTTTTTACAATTTTTATTCCAGAGAAGCAGCATTTTTAAATAATGTTTTTTTTTCTTTTTTCACTTTATCTCTAGACAGTATTTAATTTATTCATGCTCTCATAAAATATGTTAATACTATACACCATATAATAAACTATACTATGTAATGATTGTTTTCGTTCCTGTCCAAAAATAATAGAAATGTGTATGTACTGTAGCAGGCTTGTTTATACTGCAGAAAGAAATAGGCTGTGGTTTAAAATAATATGATTCATTGAATACAAATGGTGTTAGGGATAGCTATTTTCTGTATCATGTTTTAATGCAGCAACACAAATATTTATTTGCTTGGGGTCTAGAGAGGACAAAACTGGGAGGATGATGGGCGGGGGGGGGGGGTGATTATGGGTAATCAATTTTCTCATAGAAGGAGGCTGGCTCACGCTGTAACCCGATTCTCATGTTATGAGACAGACAGAAAGCACAGAGTGAGAGAGATAGTGAGGGATGGAGAGAGAGAGAGTAAACATCATTCTCCAATTTCACATCCTTTGGGATTATGGCAGTAGAATATTGTGGCCACAGTAAGAACATCCTTCTCGCTAGCCTGTATTAACACACATTCTCACTCTTAGAAGAAAAGGTTCTATATAGAACCTTATAGGGTTCTTTCAGGCTACTTCATAGAACCACATTAAGAATATGAATTAAACGGCTTGTAACAGATCCCTAGGGTTAAATGACATTTTCCGGTGAATATGTTGGTCATACTTCCAAAAAGAATAATCTGTGATTCTGAATGGCAGTATCCACACCGGCGCAGTGACTGACAGACACACACTCTCCTCATCCGCGCTGTGGCATGTCGAGGGTGTTGAAGTACAAATCACGTAAAATTGATAATTCCGCGAATGACTGAAATTGCAGATTTCGAACAGAGATGGCGACAAAGAGGAAAAACGCCCAACTGCAGCTTTAATGCACATAATTGTATTATTCAGTTTTAAAATCTGCTATGCCTGAATTAATGTGCAGAGACAGCTGAAAGCAAGTTCTAAATATATTTCCCCCAAAAAAGTGAAAAAACCGTTATTGCACGTTATTCAGATTGTTTAGGCATCGAACCAGCCTGACACATCAGCTCAATCAATGGCAGATGGGGAGACCTGTTTGAAAACACTCATTATTTTTGTACATTTAACCATGAAACTAGTGATGTCGAAAATAAACATTTCACCTGTAATGGCTTTTCATGATTAAACTGCCGTATTGAATGAGGGATCTTATGTCAAAGTATAGCAAGAACTCGAATTAGCATTCTGGGATTACTTTATACAAATCTTTACATAACATCCTAATGTCAATATAATCCTAAATGTAGACATGCTGCTAATATGGGGTGTATATAGTACTGTACTGTAGAAATGACTGTCAGTCAAAAACTCATTAAAATGACTTGATCAGACTTGATGT